AGCTGTCAGCACAGAGCCCAACACAGGGCTCGAACTCACAGACAACAAGATGATGACCTGAGCTGAAATCGGACACTTAACCGACTGAGCCACCCAGGTGTCCTGAAAATCACTTCTGGAAGGCACACATTTTCATTTGTATATCAGTCAGAAACTGTTAGTTTTATTGTACCATTGTGTTTTGAATGACAAAAATTGAAGACATAATTAACCAAATGTTATTCCAATGAGAGAGCTACTATGTACTTAGAGAGGGATATTCAGACTTACCTTTCATTTATATTTGAGTAATAACAGGTAGTAAATTTGGTCATTTAATTTACTTTTTTTTCCATTTAAAATTTTGTTTTATCTTAGAGAAAATGCCAGCTACTGTGTTTCCAAGTATCAGAGAATCAGTTGTCTTTAATAACCAATAGCAAAATGTTAATGGCTCATATATAGACCTTAAAATGTACTCTTTTGAGGGTAATGCAGTATTTAAGAATTAAGGGGGCTTTATTCTTTGTGGCTTTAATTGATAGTAAATATCTAAAGTACTAATTATTAAAAGCTTCAAACTCTGAAAAGTATGATTGTTAAATTCTCATCTGGTGCCATGAATATTTTAATTGTGAAAAGGTCTGGGGTTCCACCCTACTAAATGTGATGTTTTCTTTTCCTTAAAGTAGCATAACCTGACTTAATAGTCCCTTTGAGAAAAATGTCCATAAAAGGCCACATGGGTTCTATTAAAGGTATCTTGATTCTTACTAGAAACCTATCACCCATCTCTCTCACTTGTATTTACAATGTTTGGTATTTTTCTGTTACACATTCCAAAATTTCTTTTGTTTCTATATTTGACTCTTTTTAGATTGTACTTGGTTTTAAGAAGTTCATTTAAATTTTGCTTTTTATACCAGCAATAGTTTGGTGTTAATTTTAGTAGTGAAAACTTATAATAGATTTAATATTTACAGAATTAAAGTCATAAGACTGACTTTTAATGAATTTCAAAGAAATTAAAGCCCTCTTAATTTTCCTTTACACGCGCACACACACACACAATGGGATATTCAGTCTTAAAAAGAAAAGAAATGCTGGGGCGCCTGGTGGCTCATTTGGTTAAACGTCTGACTCTTGGTTTTAGCTCAGGTCATGATCTCACGGTTTGTGAGTTTCGAGCCCTGCATGGGACTCTGTGCTGACAGTGTAGAGCCTGCTTGGTATTCTCTCTCTCTCTCTCTCTCTCTCT